TACAATACGCAGTCACTCATTGCTTAACGACATGTTCTAATGTCCTAAGAATGCATTTTAGTCAATATCATTGTCTTGTGAACATCACAGAGTGTATTTAGTCTGCTCCACATGTAGGCTGTGTGTGTGCGCTCCTAAGTAACAACACACTACAAGAGTAAACCAAACACAAGAAAAAGTGATACAATGAAGAGATACAATAACAYGAGGTGCATGACATTGCTATTGGCATCACATGGTACACTGTATTACAGTTAACTTGATAATGAAGCTGAAGGATTCCCAACCCCTAGGGATGTTGTGGCTGGCATAGGTGGCAGTACAATCAATGTCATGGGGTTGTGCTGAAGCTGGTGTAAAGAAACCCATTGTGCAGCCAGTTGTATAACAGTATAGCACATAGTTATATATAGTACATCCTGTAGGTGATGAGAAAAGGCTGCTACTGGTTTATGTATTTACTATGCTATACTTTTTTTTCTTTATTTTAGAGTGTACTCCTAATTATTTTTTTTTAAAAAGTTTACTTTTATTGATTCTTGATCTTACTTCTTGTGCTTTATAAGTCCTGTTAAGGTAGTCAGTTCCTAAGCTGAAGTGGTGAAGATTTGGGCCTGCTTTTTCTTCTATTAAGCACAGGGTCTTTGGTCTACATTGAGTTAAATTTTGTGCAGGGTGAGAGAGAGGGGTTTAAATTCATTTTGCTACATATGAGTTTCCAGTATTCCCAGAACCATTTATTGAAGAGGCTATCTTTTTTTCCAATGAATACTTGGGGCACCTTTGTCCAGATAACTGCATTTATGTGTGTTTGTCTCTGTGTCTTCTATTCTGTAACACTGCTCTATGTGTTGGTTTTGGTGCCAACACCACACCATGTTTCTTACTGTGTCTCTGTAGTATAGTTTAATTTCTGGTATTGTGATGCCTCCTGCTTTCTTCTTCTTGCTAAGGATTGCTTTGGTTATTCAGGGTCACTTATTTTTTCAAATGAGTTTCATAATTGCTTTTTCTAGTTCACTGGGATTTTAATAGGAATTGCATTAAATCTGTATAATTCTTTGAGTTGTATGGTCATTTTGATGATATTCTGCCTATCCAAGGTATCCAGTATCTTCTGAGGTTTTCCTTAATTTCTTTCTTTAGAGTTCTGTAGTTTTCATTGTAGGGGTCTTTCACCTATTTAGTTACATTGATTCCCAAGGTTTTGTCTGGTTTTTGTTTTTGAGGCTATTGTGAATGGGGCAGTTTCCCTAATTTCTCTTTTAGTGGACTTATCACTGGTCTATTAGAATGCATTGATTTATGGGTGTTGATTTTATATCCTACTACTTTGCTGAATTCATTTATTTAGCTAGAATAATTATTGTACAGTTGTCTGAATTCTTTTGGACTATTCTCTTAGACTTATCAGATTCTCCAAAGAAGACTCTTAACAATATTCTACCTAGATGCATGATACCTGTTTTCTGAAGCACCCCAGGTCAAACCCTCTCATTCTCCCAGTACCTTCCCACCTGCCCACCACCATGTCTCTCATTCTCCCAGGTACCTTCCCACTTGCCCACCACCATTGTTAATATGGAGGTTGCAAAAAATAAAGTCAACTTACTTTCCCTCCCCTGTTGGCCGAGTAAGAAGCAATGGAGGTCAGCAGGCTATAGGGTTATGGGGAGAGCAACAGACCAGGATCATCTGTAATCACAYACATCCTCCAGTCTGCGGAGTGATAGGGGTTGAGGGAGAGGGTATTGAGCCTTGCAGGGCTTCAGAGAGCAAGGAGGCTCTGTGGGTCATGAGAGGATTCCTGAATTCTCCTTTAGTCTGAGCAAATGCCCACTTTTCCAACCTACAGTGTTTTAAAATTTTGATTCTGGTTCAGTGCAGTAAAAAGAGAATCTATATTAAATATATGTAATTATTACATTATATTACATTATACATGGTATACACTATGATTACTGAGGCTTCCTGGTACTCTTAACCATGCCAAGAATTAAAGTTGTCAGAACTGTCTTGGAAAATCCTCATGGACCCATGATTTTACTAGCTATTGGGGAAGGGGTTCCCATATCAATATATGTTATGTTGCAGCCTTTCAGTTATTCAAAATGATATGCAATAAGGTAAATCACATCATATTCTTTTAGAGGCAAAAATATATAGTACAGCATCAGTCTGTGACTGCATTAGACAACTTGTGAGTGGAAATGATTCCTGCTGTATGTAACCAATACCCAGATTCATTGCAGGTGTCACACCTAATTCTTTCAACATTATTTCTATGCTCATTCAGCATTATTTCTCACTGCACCCTAAGAGGAAGCATCTCTTGCAGTATTTGAAGCTTTTTTATTGCCATAGTGCAAYGTGGACTTGAAATAACTAGTAAATATTAAGTATCTGAAATATGATGAAGGGCCATGAGATGAAAGAAAAACATGTGAAACATTGATAAGAGCTGCTATAGTTTGAGAGACTATACTGAAAAACAGCCAYCCAGAGAGAAGAGAAAAAATAAAATGGAATGGAAGAATATACAGTAAAAATGTAACTATCACTAGTGATGATGGCTTGAGGGTATAGAGCACAAAAATGCTTTGTGAAATGAGTTTTGTTTCTTTGTTTCACCAATAAAATTCTCTACAGCACTTAGCTACAACTAACAACATCAAGAGGGGTATTGAGAAAACTCAATTAGGATAATAAAACCCAGTGATATCATGACTTTTTGAAAATCTATAGCTCTTTAATTCCATCCAATCACTAATTTGAGTCCAAAAGTCAAAAGTACTTCAGAATACCTGCTGATTTCAAATGTGGCTCYTAGTCCTTTGGGCTCCCCAGAGCTAAAGGTAAATACCTCTCTACAGATTTCTAGGTGAGAGTGGTAAACAGGAGTATGAATGCATTTGTACTGTTGATTCTGAACCCAATTAATCAGAAGAAAGTAAGTAAATGTATAAACSAGAGAACTTGAGTTCTTGAAATGTTAAATAATAAAATCATGTTCATGTTTTATATTGTTAGATACTTTTACGATATTACACATTTTTGATACAGTTAGACCTGAATCTGGGCAAAATATTAAAGTAAGTATTTTCATCTGCTAAAATTTCTTCCCCAACTACTAAAAAAAAAAAAAAACTATCGCAAAARCCAGATTTTTATGAAAAAATAAATAAATCATAAATTCATAAATAAAGGAAATCTTTCAAGAAAAGAGGGATATATAAAAATCAATAGACTGATAGACATAAGTGCCACATTGATTCAATTACTTATTTCCTACAAGTTTCTGTGTTTTTAAATTGTGTGACTGGCCACCATAAAAGCCTTTGTTATTAATATCACAAATATTAAAACACCTATGATTTAGTAAGAAAACCAAAACCAAACTGGTAAGAAATGTGTAAGAAAATGAACAATGTGTAAGAATAAGCAATATAGAAAAGGTGAATTTAAATGGTAAGGAAACATAAAAAGATGCTCTATGTCACCAGGAGTCAAATACCAACATAAAGAACGTTTTAGTCTTACTAATCAGAATGGCAAAAAATTAAAATGATCAGCTATATTCAATGCTGGGAAGAGTAAAGGAAAACAGTCCATCTGTGGTTTATAGTCTTGGAGGCAAAAGTTCTAGTCAAACTCATGAATAGAGGAACTGTATCTCTGCCTTAACAAGCAAGATCATTAAGTATCTATACAAGATAAATAAAATCATAATGGTTTTATACTAATATTTACTCTAAGATCATTTATAAGAGCAATATTCAGTAAATAATTTTAAAATTCCAAAATAAGGAACTGTTAAAATTATGGTTTATTCAGAGTATGGAATAACATACAGCTATCTGAAAGACTGTTATGTCATAATAAATTGATTTTAAAAGCTATTCATGGTATATTTTAAGTGAAAAAGATAATAAGTATTATTTTTTTTTAATCTTTATTTATTTATTCTTATGTGGTGCAGGGAATCGAACCCAGGGCCCTGCACTTGCTAGGCGAGTGCTCTAAGGCTAAGCCACAACCCCATCCCTAGGTTATTATTTTTCTAAAGAAAAAAATACTCAAAATACCATGTATGCAAATATAGGTATAAAAGCAAAGTAAAAAGCACAAAACAAAAAAATACATTATGTTGCAAAGATTGATGTAAATAACAAATGGAAGGAATGAAGACTAATCATGTTACTTCAAATGCATGCATAATACTCAACTAGTTCTTAGGATCAAGAAATGAAGCCATTTGAATTACAAAATGTAAGCAYGCTAAGTCTTCAGGTATAGTTTTGGAATCTTCTAATCCGTAACATATGCTAAGGAGAGTCCCTTGTTTTAAGCTTGAAATTTTGTAATGATTTCTTAAGATGGCCCAATCTCAGAATTTCATTCTTTTGAAACAGAGTCATCAAATTTCTAGTAAAGGAAATTAAAAGAAGCAGTAGATAGTAGAACTTTTATCTGTTTTATACATACAAATGAGAAATCTGGGGGGGGGGGCTGGGATTTGGCTCAGTGGTAGAGTGCTAGCATGCATAAAAGCCTGGGTTCAATCTACAGAACCATTAAAAAAAAATGAATGAAAACTTATATACTATGAACACATCATAACACCACTTTGGATCATAACCATGCTTTATGTTGAAATCAAATGTCACTTATGTGTGGGGTTCTAGTTAAGAGATACTGAACTCCTCTACTAAAAACAGTGTTAAAATAGGATTCCAGTGTATCCCACTCACTGCTGGCAAATGCTTCTCCATGAAAAAAAAAAAAAAAAAAAAAAAACAGAATGTGATCTAAATAAATATTCTCCAGTGAAAATATTGAATTATAAAAGTTTCTACCAACTAAACTGAAGCAATGACTATATTTCTTTTCTTTACACAGAAAATTTTAACTTTAAATTATGGTTAGAGATGTTAGACTTAGGCTCAGTAAAATGCAYGTAAAAAGTGGTAACCGTTGGTTTGAGAAATCTGTTTTCCTACCTTCACATTATCTGGATGGAGCCCCCCAGGGTGCTTGTCCATGTACTGACATAAATCAGTGTGCTAGAAGGAAAAAGGGAAAATGTATTAATATCCCTCTGGCTGTAACATGATGAATCAATATTTTTCTACTTCAAAGTCACCATTACCTTCTGAACAAAGCAAATACAAGACAAGTGGGTGGATTTTTTAGTGCATCCACTGTATGCTCCCCACCCCCATTTTTMACCACAATTGAATCATTATCTTTACCTCTAAGTTTTATGTTAAACATGTCTATGAATTAAAAAGGAATATATGTCCATAATTTGTCAAGCATTTAATTTCCTCCTCATTAAAYATATATCACTAAAATTTGACTAAAATAATAAAAATAAAAGCCAACTAATTAAATTATAATTTTAATTAACTCATATTCTCCAATTACAAATGTAGCTTATTATTATTTATTTCATATGAGACAAAAACATTCTAAATCTATTACTCTAGTAAAATTTATCACTGTACTTATTTAAATTTTTCATGACTATATTCACAAAAAATAAAGTTTCCCCATCTCCTAAATATATGTGAGCAAATAAACTCTATAAATTACAGAAATACATTTAAAATTATAAAGCAAAGATATTCAAATATATACTAACAAGAATATCCCCAGATAATATTTTATGGTGTTAATMKATTAAATATGGAAAGTTCAATTTGACAATAATTATATTTATTCTTAATTCCTTTTCTGTTTATATTGTGAACTACACACAATTTTTGAAAAAAGTATGTAGAATTGTTCTCTTATGGCTACTATAAATTGAAATATTTAATTATCCTGTAAAAGCCAATGGACAGGAGCATTTGTGTCTCATTATTAGGCTTGACTTATTGAGTCAATATGATTTTTATAATATATTCAAGAACCTTGCTGTAGCCACCAAGACAATTAAAATTTTGTTACTGAGTTGTTATTGCATGCTCGATGRTAAGTGTTAAGGATACAGAGGATGCAGAGCAGAATTTGTCCTTCATTCATTTATCCTATTACTTCTTGAGCCCTTGCTATGTTCTAGGCATCACACTTAGTCACCATGACATGATGCAATAAAACAGATGTACAGGGGAAAAGAATAGACACACCAGGAAATAGTACAGTGAGCTACGTATTATGTTAAGAACGGTGCTGCATAATGTTCCATTTGGCTTTGCTCGACAATTGGTAAACTTCTTTCATCCTTTGCTGCTCATGTCTTACTTATATATAACTTCTTCTAGAGKCCTTTCTGAAATCTTTAGACTATATTATGTTCCCCCTGCTATATGTAAGGCAAAGCCAAATAAAGCAGGACAGAATAAGTGCTAGTAGACACATTCTGACACATAACTACTGCCTATATGTAGGACCACATCCAAAGTTTATGTGTTGAAGGCTTGCTTGATCCCAGCTGGCAGTGCTATTGGGAGGTGATGGAAATTTTAAGAGKTGGGGCCTACTGGGAGGGAGTAGCTCACTGGGGGCATGGCTTTGAAAGGTTTATTCTATCCCCAGTCTCTKCCTTCCTCTCTCTTTCTCTTTGCTTTCTGGCTGCCATAAGGTGAGCAGCTCTGTTCCACTATGTGCTTTCCACCATGATGTTCTGATKCACTGAAGGTCCAAGGTGACAGGGCCAAATGACCATGGACTAAACTGTGAGCCAAATTACACCTTTTCTTATTAAAATTGATCTTTTCAGGAATTGTGACAAATGATGGAAAGTTGATTAACACAAATGGGAAAACATTTCTGCTCCTCTAGACATGGGAATGATGTTCTTAGTATATTTCCAATGATATTAGCATAATGAATTGTAGTAGAGACCTTCTCCAGAAATTAGTTCTTTGGAACTTTGATAAAAAGTTTTGCAAACATTTTAAATTTTAAAACCCATATTTCTTTAGATCCAGGGTATGAAAATGTGGGTGTGTGTGTATACTTGTGCACACACATAACAGATATACACACATRGCTGTCACTAGCTGTGTAGCCCTGATCTACATAACCTCTGTATATAAGTACTATCTTCATCTGTGGAATGATAATAATCCTAGTACACCTACCCCATATGGTTTGGGAGGAAAGTAATGAGCAAATATCCATAATACTTTGAGAACTTTTCCTGATATCTGGTAGATACTATAGATGATGATGATGATTTTCTATGATGTGTTTAGGAGCAAAAACAGGGAGAAATATTTAAAAGGATAGAAATTTAATAAAACAAATGTTAAATCTATAGAGAGAGATCCCAGGACTGYACTTCACCTTGATGTGCATGTTTCTCCCACCTGCATGGCTAGACATCTCACTCACCCTTCTSAGCTCCTGCACTCCTCTCAAAGCACATCTAGCAAACACAACAGGAACCTCAGATTGCTCTGGGTGATTAGGAGCAAGAATCCAAGAAATTTCAGATAGAAGAAGGGACAGGAAGCAGTACAAGGCCATACTTTGTACCCCAATATCCWTGTGTCACAAATTTCTTCTTTACCTACATTAAAAACTGTCTCTTTCCGCTAATTTTTTATTGGTTCTTTTTAGTTATACATGACAGTAGAATCCATTTTGACATATTTATACAAGCATGGAATTATTCTAATTCTGACACCAGTGTCTTTACTTCCCTTTCCCCACCCCCTACTCCCTTCCCTCTATTGATATTTCTGCCATTTACCATAGTTATTTTTTAAAATTAATTTCTAGTGGATGTACACGATGGTGAGATTCACTGTGTGTATTCATTGTGTACATATGCCCTCCTTCTTTTGAAATGCACAGTAGTCTATTTGGCTTTGCATTAGATGTGCCCAAATTATAACTTTCATTACATCTTTCTTCTTCTTCTTTCTCTCTCTTTTTTTTTTCTTTTTGATACCAGGTATTGAACCCACGGGTGCTTAACAACTGAGCCATATCTCTAGTCCTTTCCATTTTCTTTCTAATTTTAAAATAGGGTCTCCCTAAGTTGCTGAGGCTGGCTTTGAGCTTGCGATCCTCCTATCTCTGTTTCCTGAGCCATGGGGATTACAGGCATGTGCCACCATGCCCGGCTAACATCTCTTCTTTCTTGACAACTTCTTTCTTTAGTTCTGTTAATTGGATTATGTGACCTTTATGATTTACAGTAGTCTAGAAATGTAAAACCTAACACAGCATGCCAGAAGGCACTTCTTAGTCATTTCAGTGTTAAATTCATTGTAGGTATAAGAGTTCTGAACAGAAGGCCCCTATGACATATAACAAACAGATCACTCTCTTGGAATACCTTGATAATATTGGATCCATCTGGCTTGATCTCTGACTATTTCTTGTTTCTAATATCAAAAGGAGCATGCACAGGTAGACTAGCTCCTTGATAATACCTATGAGTGTCTGCCATGGCTCTAAGCTAAAACCCCTCCTCCCTTACCGCACTGTGCCTCGCCTCATCCACCCACACCACTCATCTCATTCACTCCATCACTGCCACTGTTCTTCAGCATAATACCACTAGAAGCAGTAGAAGWGCTTGTGTCTGACAGGTTTGTGTCTGACAACTGCCTAGAAACAGCACATCAGTATTCCATAGAGTGGGTGGTTTTGRAGGAAGCTATCAAGGGTGGCTAGACTTACAAACCAAGCAGAAGACAGAGGGAGTGCAGCCAGTAGCTCTGAGTCTCAATCAACAAGCACATATTCTCCTTGTTGATTACCCACTGGGTAGCATTTATTTGGTTATTTACAAAGGTACAGAAATGTTTCTAAGGGGGAGGGAATTTGAGGAGAGGATCTGAAATCAGAATCCCTTGGAGGATAAATGTTTACTGTAAAATAATTTGTAAGATTTAGAATTTTTTTCCTCATATTGATTTCTTGTGGCTGGATCAATTTCAAAGGCAGAAGACAAATCTCCCTTTGGAAAAGGCAGGACATAGAAATAATATGGAGAACTGAAAAGTCTTTTTACTCATAAGCATTTTCACATAGTATAGTCCTGGTTAATTTTAATCATAGGCAGGAAAGGGAATGACAATGACTGACACTAGTTATAAGCTGCATGTACCCATGTGGCTTAAACATAAAGACATGGAAGAAAGCACAAAGATACAAAGATAAATTATGTATATCCTGATAATCTTTAATAATGTATACCATGGAAAACACCTCTTTTGAAGAGGACCAGGAGAAAGAGGCCAGCAGGAGGAAAAGATGGGCAACAGCTGGACTTTGACATTGACTTCCATATTTTCCACTCCACATCCCTTACATTTTTTTAATCTTACCTGGGTCAGAAGAAAGAAGCAATATCCCTCTACATAAATCCACCAATAAGAAAGCTAGATGAAGCCCAAGCAATCTGTTGGACACAAAATAGGGCCTAATTTCMAGGGCAGAAAGAAGTATGTGTCAAGTGTAAAGTAGGCTTAGCCATTCAGTGCATGCTGATGTGTCTTTTGATTTTATCTAACTCMTTATTCATGAACAGGGATTTTCCAGTAATTTCCCTTCAAAAGGTTGAACCTCCTATTCAAGAGGCATCAAGTTCCTCAGAGTAATTCTGATTTTGCAATAACTTTGACTTTCATATTGGACTTTTCTCATCGAGCAAATAAATCCCTTTCACAGAACACATGTCTTTGTTTCCATTTTCCTATAATGTTAAGGATGAAGTTCCACTATTTGTCAGCTAATTCTGATGTCTTCAGAAGCACTGCCAAAAATATTAGGTTGAAAATAGCACMGCCTTATTTTTAAGCAACTAGGCTAAAAATAAGGAGGTCTTCTTGTGGAGATAGCCAACAGAAGCCCTCATTTTGAAGTTTGGTAGCAGAGCCTCTGTAGCCCTTACTTTTGTTTCACTTAATTTTCCATTTATCGGGGAGAAGACAGAAAGTGTATTCAAGCTTGGTATAGATTTTATAACACTTTAAAGACCTCTGTTTCAAAAGCATAAGAAAATTGAAAGATTACAGAAGATAAAATCAATTCCAACCTAATTTTTAATAGGTGGGCTTGATTATTTTATGATTAAACACTAAAGTTCAGTTCATTCAAA